GAAGAGTCTTTCAGAAACATATTCTCTCAGTTTTTGAATATACTGGAAAGTCTTTAGTTCACCTTCATCTTTGAAATGTCCTTTTCAATTATAGCCAACTGAGGTGGATATAGGATCCTCAGTTGACAAGTTTTTTTCTCTGAGCACTTCACGTGTGTTCTGGTGAGAAGTCAGCTGTTAATCTTATTGGGGTTTCCTTGTAAGGGGAAAGTCATTTTCCTCCTGTTGCTTTCCCAATGTGCTCATCTTTTACTTTCAGCATTTTTACTAGGAGGTGTCTGTCTGTGAATCTCTTTCTGCTTATCCTCCTTGGAGTTCACTGAGCTTCCTCAATGGACAGGTCATTGCTTATTATAATGGCTACTTTAAAACCTTCTCGTTAAATCTGATATCTGGTCACTCTCACAAGCAATTCCTCTTGCTAGCTTTTCCCCATTGTACGGGTCTTACTCCCCTGCTTCTTTGCATACCTCATGATTTTTGTTGGAAACTAGACATTTTAAGTAATATATCACACCAACTCCTCTCCAGGGCATGTTACTGTTATCTGCTTATTTATTTGTTTAGAGACTGGCTGTCTTGTTTTAGTGAAATCTATTTCCTTTACACAGTGTGGAGGCACATCTTTGGATAGCCTAAAGGTTTTAGAATCACTCTCGTTCTCTTTCCCGGGCCCCTAGTATATAGATAGATAGATAGATAGATAGATAGATTTCATGATAGTAAAGGGCACATTACAGATATCCTATATAATAGAAGGGTAATATGCAAATTGACCAAACAGTGGATGACCGGTCGCTATGACATACACTGACCACCAAGGGGCAGACACTCAACGCAGGAGCTGCCCCCTGGTTGTCAATGTGCTCCCACAGGGGGAGCGCCGCTCAGCCAGAATCTCTCTCCACCTTGCTGAGCTGGGAGCAGGGAGGGTGATAGAGGTCTTGGTTCAAATGTCACAAATTTTCACCTTCCTTATGGAATGTTTACGTATTTTTTAAATATATTTTTTTAATTGATTTCAGAGAGGAAGGGAGAGGGAGAGAGAGAGATAGAAACATCAATGAGGAGAGAGAATCACTGATCGGCTGCCTCTTGCACTAGGAGGCACCACACTAGGGAAGGAGCCTGCAACCTGGGCATGTGCCCTGACCGGGAATCGAACCGTGACCTCCTGGTTCATAGGTCGATGCTCAACCACTTGAACCAAGCCAGCCGGCTGTTTATGTATTTTTTTAAAATATATTTTATTGGATTATTTCACAGAGAGGAAAGGAGAGAGATAGTTAGAAACAATGATGAGAGAGAAACATGATCAGCTGCCTCCTGCACACCTCCTACTGGGGATGTGCCTGCAACCAAGGTACATGCCCTTGACCGGAATCGAACCTGGGACCTTTCATTCCACAGGCCAACGCTCTATCCACTGAGCCAAACCAACTAGGGCTGTTTATGTATATTTTTAATAGATATTTCTTCACTTGATGCATGCCCCTATCATTCCTAGAGGATTTAAAGTATTTTTTTAAAAATAATTTTCACCAGTTTTACAGAGAACCAGGTCAGTGGAGCTCCTCCCGCTGAAAGTTGGTCCTGTCTACAGCTGCTTTGGGGCTACGAGGGTACAGCTGAAGAGCTGTGTGGTTGCAGCTGAGACCGTATGGCCTCCGAAGCTGAAAATATGTATCATGTGGGCCTTTACAGAAGAAGTTTGCCAAGCCCTGGCTTGGGTCGCTGCTGCCAATGCCACAGGTCCACAGACCACACTTTGAGTAGCAAGGGCTTCCATCGCTTGAGAGACAGACAGTAAGCACTGTGTTGGCTGAGCGCTTGCCTCAAAACTCCATTTCACCATTTCTTGGACAGATGGTTTGGGGCGCGCCTCCCTCCCTGGGTTGTTGTGAGAACGAAATGTATGAAAGTCTGCCACTTCGGAAGTATTCAACAAACGATAACTTATCATCGTCCTGCAAACTGTACAGGAAATTTAAGTCGAAGACATCATCGCTTTCCTCAGTTTTTTTCCCCAGAAAATTTAAGTTTTGGAAAAGGGACACAAGTGTAGACTCCCCAATAAGACGAGGTGTCTTTTCATACCTGGGGTACACAAATGACCGACTGAAGTGAAAACTCTATAGAGCTGCAGCTTAAACCTGACATTGAAAAAAACGAGAATTTGCCACCGGCGATGCCTCCGGCCTCTTGCGGTAACAATGAATGAAAACTTTCAGGAAGTGCTTCCCAACCCAAGTGCCCTATTGGAAAACACAGCAATGGATCCTTAATCCGAGGATCTGGGCCTAGATGGGTCCCTTCCGGTTCTGGCCACCTCTATCCGTGCCCATTAATGATATACACAGAATCCCTCAAGTTTCCACCTCGACTTGACACCCGGGCCGGGACGCCCCGATCGGTGGTGCCATCCTAGGGCCCGAGGCGCGGGGATTCCGCCAG